CAACAGGTTAGGACGCAGCCCTGCAAACGAGCCGAGCCACAGCCACCGCGGTTGGAGTTCCATCCCTGCCCCCGAGGTGACCACAGGGCGCGGCAGACCTCTCCTGACCCGCCCGCTGCTCCCCTCAGCAGTGCACTTCATCCATCTGCCTGTTCTGCTCCCCACTCTGTCTCTGGTGAAGCCTCTCACCGCGCCTGCACCTCCAGCCGTACCCCAGTTCTCTATGCATGAATAAATAAATCTTTTAAGAAACGGTGTATGCATTTTTAACAAACATTGCGATTGCCTTTCGCAAGATGGCTACAGTTTGCACCCTGCTCTGCGCCAGTGATCCCCCGCATGCTCACAACATCAGATCTTATTGATGTTTTAATCTTGCCCATCTGATGGGTGTAAGTTTTCTGTAGTCACATTTTGCTGATCAAAGTTAGGCATCTTTGTAGATGTTTATTGACCTTCTTCATTGCAATCCTGTCCTTACATGTTTTTAGATGTTCTTCCGCTATCTCAAAAGAAGAAATGTCTTGTGCCCGGGAACTTATTTGCTCATGCTTTCCTTGTTTCTCAACTTTCTTCTTCCTTGAGCCCCTTCGATTTTTCTGTTTTCACGGATGTAAGACAGATTGCAATTATCTGGAGATAAAAGACTTTAGCAAGCCTCTGTATCCTTTAGCTCCTCCCTGTTCTCTCTCCTCCATGTTTGTCCAAAACTCCTGTGCTGGCTTCTCTCACCAACTTGAAACTACGCCATGGGCTTCTCTGTCCTGCTTTGATTGGCTTTTTAATGTTGTTTTACACACTGCTGCTATCTCTTTTGGTCAATGGCTCCACTAACTCAAGCTTTACCTCTGGGATGACCTCTTTTACTTTTTATTAAATATTTTATTTATTTATGCATACAAGAACTGGGGTACAGGCCAGAGGTGCCGGGGTGGGGGGTGAGAGGATGCACCAGAGACAGAGTAGGGAGCAGAACAGGCAGATTGTCGAAGTACACTGCTGAGGGGAGCAGCGGGAGGGTCAGGAGAGGTCTGCTGCGCCCTGTGGGTCACTCCCTGGGCCATGTGGGTCAGCAACCTGCCTGGGGGTGGAACTGGGGCTGTAGCAGCTGCAGATAGTGACATAGTGCTGTGCTTTAATCTGTTGTGCCACCAGGGAGGGTCTGGAATTACTTCTTTAAATGTGTTTTTTTCTTCCCTTGCCAAAAAATGTGGATCAGTGATTCCTGTTTTGGGACCTTTGTTCTTTTGCTTTGCGTGTTCCTTTGAAGATCTCATCCATCCCCGACATGGCAACTATTAGCGCCATGCAAATGACTCCCCAGTCAGCGCTAGTCCTGATGCTTCGCATTTCAGTCTTTCATTTGAACGTTTTTCTCCACTGACTTGGACCAATACAACATCAAGATCAGAACTCTAAATTGCACTTAGCGCTCTCTCTCCCTCACCGATCCTTGTCATTTTATCAATTTTTTTTGTGAGTAACAAGTGGGAGAAAATCTTGTTTAGTGGAAGTATTCTCTCTAGACGGAAGCTTATTTTTTTTGCTACGTACTTAGATGAGACACTTTCACTGAAGGGGGACTGGTGAGAGGTAAAATCAGAAAGGATTCAACTTATATAAAAAGATGGGATCATCGAATTGCTTTTCAAGTGTGTCTGACCCACTAAATTCGTTTTGCTGGGTATATTCCTTAAGGGCTGACTTGTCACTGACGTTTTCTCCTGTGTTTTCTTCTGGAAGATTTATGGTTTTAGCACATACAAATTAGACCTATGATGCTTTTTAAAAGAAGATTTATTTATTTATGCATACTGAGCTGGGGTACAGGCCAGAGGCTCAGGGGAGGTGAGAGGATTCACCAGAAACAGAGTGGGGAGCAGAACAGGCAGATCAACAAAGTACACTGCTGAGGGGAGCAAAGGGAGAGACAGGAGAGGTCTACTGTGCCATGCGGATCACCTCCTTAGCCAGGGATCGAATTTGCACTGAAATAGCCACTGAAAAGCCTCATAGTGTTGCATTTTAGCCCATTGCACCACCAGGGAGGGCCCAAACCTATGAAGCATTTTGAATGACTTTTTATAGGAAGCCTGAGGTGACTTGGGATTTTAATGTAATTATTAATTTGCTCTTAGTGCAAAGCTATTATTTGTGCATGGAAGTGATGTTTCAACTTTGTTGAAGTATAGTTGTCTAAATATACATAAATCTATTTTTGAATTCTATTTTCTATTCTGGCTTCCTGGCATGAAGTCGTTTATCATATCCCTTTAACATTCTTTAATATTTGTAAAATCTTAGTAAAACCTTCACTCTCATTCTTGATGTGGGCAACTTGTGTATTTTCTCTTGTTTTCTTGATTAATCTTCCTAGAAGTTTTTTTTTTTCCTAAAGATTTATTTATTTATGCATAGAGAACTGGGGTACAGGCTAGAGGTGCAAGGGCGGTGAGAGGATTCACCAGAGACAGAGTGGGGAGCAGAACAAGCCAACTCACGAAGTGCACTGCTGAGGGGAGCAGTGGGTGGGTCAGGAGAGGTCTGCTGTGCCATGTGGGTCACCCCCAGGGCGGGGGACCAAAATGATGCTAAAGTGGCTTTAGCTTCTCAGTGCTGTGCTTTAACCTGTTGCGCCACCAGGGAGCGCCCTCTGCCTAGAAGTTTTATTGATCTTCTCAATTAGTCAGCTTTTGGTTCCATATATTTTTCTCTATTGGTTTTCTGCACATATATATTTGCATAATTTTTTACTTCCTTTCTTCAGCTTATTTTAGGCTCAATTTGTGTATCTCCCCTCCCCCTAGTTTCTTGAGATAAAATCAGGCATCACTGATTTGTGACTTGTCTAGCTATAAGCTCAGATCTACCACCACCAACCTCTGGTTCAATGATACACTAGAAGGACTTACAGAATTTAAAAGGTGAGTTTATCAGGGTTCTAGTTAATGGCAGTGAAGTGATCTAAACCAACATGAGCAGAAAGAAGAGGCACAGGGCAGGATCCAGGAAGCCCAGTTGTAGATCCCATTTGTTCTTATTTCTTCCAGCAGTGACACGAAGCACTGCTAACCAGGGAAGTTCACCTGGATCTTGGTGTCCAGAGTTTTTTATTGGGGACTGGACACATGTCTGAGCCAAAGCCCCAACAAAGATCATGGTTGGCATCGTCCAAGGTCTGCATCTTAACAAAGTCACTCTAACTAGACAAATGCTCTGAAGACTTAGAGGGGAGAGAGTCAAAACTCTGTTTAGCGAGTTAGTATTTTACTGAATGTTAACACTGGCATTTTAGTGCTCCAGGCTTCTCTGTAACAACTGCCTTCACTACACCCCATACATTTTGATAAATTGTGCTTTCATCCTCATTTACTTCAAAATAGTTTATAATACCTCTTTTGATTTCTTCATTGACCTGGGTAATTCATACTGTGCATTTGGTTTCCAAATATTTGCTGCTTTTCCAGATTTTGCTATGATTGATTTTGAACTTGATTACAGTGTAGGGAAAGAATATAACTTGTACTACCGAAATCTTTTAAATGATATTGAGACTAATTTTATGACTTAAAGGTGGCCTATGTTTGTTTATATGTGTTCTATTGTTAAGTGAAATCTTTTAGTTAGGTCAAGTATTTTAAATAATTTTATACATTATTCTATTTACTTATATATCATATATTCAGAGAGAGATGTATTGGAATTTCTCGACATGACTGTGGGAGTGTCTATATTTCCTTGCACTTCTCTTGCAATTTTATCATTCATCTTGAAGGGCTGTGATTAGGTGCACCATCACAAACACCGACTTTGCTCCTGCCTCTCTGTTAGGACATTAAGGCTGTCTCCTTTCAGAAGGATTCAGTTTAAAATCCACACATCCAAACCAAATTGAATAACTGCCTTGCAAATGAACCATTTCTGAGGACAGCCCATGGAAGGGGAAGTTCCCAGGGACATGCCTATCCCAGGCATCTTGGGGCCCAGTGACTCCTTTCAGGGGAATGAGGCTAGACCATCGTCCTGGCACATTGTCCTCCTTAGTTGCCAGGGATAGATGGTTCGGCAATACTTCTCAAGTGTCTGCCACCCCCAGGCCCCACCCTCTACCCCATGCCTCTGTGAAGCTTCCACTCTTTATTATAGGCACAAGCTTTGCCTGGACCCCCAAATCCAGCCAACGCATTGAGAATTTCAGCAATGCCTCCAGCAGAGTGCATCTATCAACCATTTGTCAGTGTTACAATCATTCGTGGTTTATTTTTTTTACTCTGATTTATGTGTTATGTGAGAAGATCAAGGGGATCATTTTCTGGGGATTCCTACATTAGCAAGGATAAGAGAGGTGGTAAGAACCCAGGTCTGTTCTGTTTCAAGGTTGCATGATTTAGCGCCACCTCATGCTGCACCAAGAGGATAAGGGAGGTCTAGAGAGGCGTGGACACAGAGACCGGGTTGGTCAGTTCAGTAGCCGGCCCTGCCTTGCAGGTTGGGAATCCTCACTGCAGGTATCTGGCATGAGCTTTCTTGCAGTGAATCCCCCAAAGACTTAAATCTCTTGAGCCTGGGCCTGCTTTTATCTACTTTCCAGGCACCAGGTGACAAATCCAGGTGCGTTTCCAGTGTGAGAAATTAGACTCCCTTTCCATCACCCATTATCACTGCCTCTCTGCTGGGTGCAGTCCCCCTTGGTGGTCTCCAGGGGGAGCCTGAGAGCCACCCGAGGTTACTGGTGACCTAAGGAGTCAGGAACTGCATTTACATACCAGGACTTGAGCTAGATCTGGGTAAAGATAACTAGCTCAGGGTACAGCTGGTTCTCAGAGAGGGTGGGGATGAGTCATCTCTCACTTAAGAGAAGACCAGCCTCTTCCTCCTCAGCTCGAAGGGAAGTGATAGCTCTCTTCTGCAGCAGCTGTCCCTAGGAGGGTGGGTGTGGCCCCATCTGGCCCAGTCTGGAGGCGTCAGCCCAGGAGCGGGAGGACAGTCTGCCTGGGACTATGCTCTGCTGTTCTCTGGCCCTGCTGCTGGGCACATTCTTAGGTGGGTGCTCTCCTCTCCTGGCTGGGTGGCAAGCCTCCCATCAAGCCTTCACCCTCACCCAGCCCAGCTAATCCAGAACCTCAGCTGTTTGTGTGACTCTCTGGTACCTGCTGGCAATTGTCTGGGATGAAAGTGGATGTGAACCTGGAGGCGGGTTGCTGAGTGCTCCCTACCTCCCGGGGAGGAGTCTGCTCTCTGGGTACCCCTTCCCCAGGGACCCCTGCACCCTGACCCTCGCAGTCTGCCCTGAGTGATGCCCCTGGAGGCTGGTGCCATGAAAGGCCTTGCACCGCGCTCCATCGGACGGAGAGCAGACGGTGCTGTCCTCCTCTCTGACCTTCTCCTGGCCGTCCACACAGGTGTGAGAGCCCAGACAATCCAGCAATGTCCGCGGAGCACGGTGAAGCAGGCAGGCGGCCGCCTGTCACTGGAATGCACTGTGAAGGGGACATCAAACCCCAACCTGTACTGGTACCATCAGGCTACAGGGGGGACCCTCCAGCTGCTCTTCACCTCCATCAGTGTTGGGAGTGTCCAGTCTGAGGCCCCCACGCACCTGAACGCCGTCCGGCCCCAGGACGGCCAGTTCAACCTGACTTCTGAGAATCTCACCCTTGGCGACTCTGGCTTGTACCTCTGCGCCTGGAGTATCACACTGAGCTGGCTGGGACACACAGCTGTGCAAAAACCCCAGCCTCCCAGCCTCTCGGCCTCCCCTGCCCAGCCCTCCCACTGTGGCCCTCGGGAGGTTGGAGGGTGTCTGCTTTGGGGTTCCTGACTGCCAGCCGAGTGAGCACCACGCCCAAGCCGAAGGACTCCCTAAGTTCCCCAGGGGGACATAAAGACTCTATGTGGGGACTGCACACAGGCTCCCCCTGGACAAGTCCCCGTGTGGGGTCTCCAGATCCCGGCTGGCACGCGGGTGCCCGACACCCACTGCCCGAAGCCTTGTGGGGCCACAGCCCCAGCGGGCTCGGGCGTGGCGCGAGGGTGTGTGCCCAGGTGTGCTCTCAGGCTCCCTAGTGGGTTAATCTTTGTCACCCGAGTGTCCCTTTGACTGATTTTTCAGCCAGACCCCGTGCCAGGTGCTCCGTCATCGGCCTGGTGTGGGCTGGGGTGTGGTTTTGTTAGTACAAAAGACACGCACTTAGGGATTTTGATGATTTTGTGGGGTTGTAGGCTTCTTGATTCCTTTTCAACTGTCTCTCCTACTTTCCCTGGCGGAGAAAGAGGGAGCGGAGAAGTCACGGTGGCCAGACACAAGAGGCAGACTAAAGAAGAGGCATGCATGTGTCGGGGTGAAAGTCTAAAAAGAGAGAAATCACCTGGATGGGAGTGAAGGAGAGGAAGAGGCTGATGGGAAGGCTGACGGGGAGGAGGTGCCGCGGTTGCCTTGGCAACAGAGCTTCGTTTCCCCCCTCCATCCCCCCCCCAGTCCCTCACCCCACCACCTCCTGGTTCTTCCTAGTTTTCTTCTCTAATGCCCGCTCTTCTCCACCAGAGGGCACAGGAAGCCCTAAAATGCTCTGTCCAGCGTCCCTCCGCACATTACATGTGTTTATTTTCAGTACTTTTTTTTTTTTTAAAGTTTTATTTATTTATGCATACAGAACTGGGGTACAGGCCAGAGGCTCGGGAGGGTGAGAGGATTCACCAGAGACAGAGTGGGAAGCAGAACAGGCAGATCGATGAAGTACACTGCTGAGGGGAGCAGCGGGCGGGTCAGGAGAGGTCTGCCGCGCCATGTGGTCACCTCCGGGGCAGGCGGGGATCGAACTCATGCGGAAGTGGCTTTAGTTTCTCAGTGCAGTGCTTTAACCCGCTGCGCCACCAGGGAGGGCCTATTTTCAGTACTTTTTAACCTGCAGAGCCGAGCCATAAAGTAATCAAGGGGCCCCACGGCACCTCCAGCACAAATACGTGGGTTTTCTGGACATTTGGAGCTATTTGGGGATTAAAAAAGAAAAATGAAGAACACACTGAAGACGCCTGGGCTAAGTCCAGGGTGGTTGAACCACGCCCTTGGCGGGTTTTGCTTTTTGCCTTTGTGCCAACTTTTACATTCATGGAGTTGGTCGAGCTACGGCCATAGAATTTAAGAAGTGTTGGGCGGGGACCGCCCCAATCCCGGGTTGTTGGGGGACAGAACAGGCAAGGTCTTAAGGTGGGAGCGGTGTAGGTGAACGGAGATTCCTAAAAGGTGGGGAAGGGGAGTGGGAGCGAGGAAGACACGGGAATCAGAGTTGGGTTCAAGACTACCTGTTCTGCCCTCAGCAGAAATTTATTTTAAACATTACCAGCAAACAGTGGAAAGACATCAGCACATGGCCTGGGCTGAGATTCTCAGCATCGTTTTTTACGTAGAACAGTTTGGGGTCGTATTGACCTTCAGCTGAGATTATGACATTTATTATTCTTAAAATCAATCTATTAAAGTTAGGACAGGTACATACATTCATAAAATCCAAGGCTACCATTGCTATATTTACCACAGTGATGACTGGCTAAAATAAAGTCCTTTTAAACCTTAAATGCTACTTAATGATCTTTGCTCTTAATGAGACATCTTAGAGGGTAAAGTCAAGTCCAGGACTAGGGTGGAGGCTGGGTGGAGATGTGAAGGGGGATAAAGTAAGGTCTCTGGCCACGGTGAAGTTGTGAAAGAGGGTAAAGTCCAGGGCTAGGGTGGAGAAGTATTCTTGTAGATAAATCACTAAGGGAGATAGTAAGAAAGTAGTTGCAGCTCACGTTTGGTTCATGTTTCCAAGAAAAATGTCTCAGGCTGGTGTGTGGGTGTTAGCTGACTACTGAACAGTAGTGGAAATAAACCTCTGCCTGAAGCAGATTATTTTTAATCAATAGACTTCACTTCTCAAATAGTTGATTTGTCGATTATTCAAATAACTAGCTAATTTGGGGGAGTTGGGGCACCCCCCCCCAAAGCTCTGTGTCCTTGCCATATCACCTTGCTTCCCTCTCTGGTCACCCCTACTGCTGTCCCTCTGGTAACCAGCATGATTTTCCCAGACTCTAAGAATTATTTTTGTTGTGCTTTGCTAGTTGTTTTCTTTGATTATTTTTATTTTGCAATTGAGTGAAACCATCTGGTGACTGTCTTTCACTTTGTTGTATTTCACGTATTTCACCACAGCTACAGGCCCTGTTTTGGCCCAAAGGCACTATTTCAGCCTTTTAATGGCTGCATAGTACTCCATTGGGCATAGATGCCACAATGTCTTCACCCAGCTGGCTGATGAGGGGCAGTTAGGCTGGTTCTGTGTCTTGATGCTGTGAACACAGCTGGACAGAAGGCTTTCACATTAGAGTTTTCATGTTCTTTGAGTAAATATCCAGCAGTAGGATTGCTGGGTCAAATGGAGTCTTTTTTTTGTTTGTTTTGTTTTTTTTTTTTTAATAGAAGAACTGGGGTGCAGGTGGTGAGAGGATTCACCAGAGATGGAGAGGGGAGCAGAACAGGCAGACAGGTGAGGTCTGCTGCGCCACATGGGTCAGCTCGCTGGCCAGGGATCAAACTCAGGCCTCATTGGTGATAGTGCTGAGATTTAATCCTTTGCGCCATCAAGGAGGCCCCTCCATTTTGATGTCTTTGCGGACTCTTATACCTGTCTCTATAGAGGCTGCACCAATTACATCCCCAAGATTTTAGTATTCAGAACAGTTTTAGAGGAACATGACACTGAGCAGTTAATCGAGTCCTCACATATCGCTTTCCTTCCCCAGTCAATCTGTAACTCATCTTAGATGGGTGTGGAACATTTGTTTCCAATGACTGGCCAGTGAACCAGCGCTGAGATGCTATTATTAACCAAAGGCCATGACGTAGGCCTGTGAGTGGTGGCTGCCACCGTTTTTGGCAAATACCTGATGTCTTATATTTCCGTGACAGCCATTTGGGGCCATTTCCTGGCTCCACACCCCCAACCCCCGTGTTTGCTAACCCCTGTCCCTCCTTCTCTTTGCCGG